TGCTGCTGGATAGAATTCATTAAGCGGCATCCGACTTATGCAGTTTAACTTCGATAAGTGCACAATGAAAATACCAGGAGGGATAATCTTTTGACCTGCCTCCCTCATCGCTTCAGCCCAGAGACAAAGAGACTTGGAATGAACGATTGAATTTGGATTATTTCACTAAGTAAAAGCTCCTCTATCACATGAAAGGATTGATAATTTTATAATAATTGTCGATGAGAATTTGCTATGATAGTTAAAATTAAAACGCTTACGCAAATTACGCAAAAATTAAGATTATGTTTAGAAATGCGTTAGCATGATGAGTTCAGGTTCCTTCCTGCAAGCACGTACAAAAAGTGAAGATTCGATATTGGTGTAAACGTTACGTCAATGCCCCTATTGAATTGGTTCCAGTCTTTTTTTAATTCTATGGATGAAAAAATTTCAACACGATCGAAATGAATTGCAAAAGATATGATCAAAGCTTTCCGGGCCTTTTAAATGCTGAATCCAAACGTAAAATTATCTCATCAATCACCACGTCAAAATTTTTCGGAAAATTCTGACGTGATGAAAAAACTTGGAAGTTATTTCTGGATTTAGCGGGAGATTGCCGTAAATTAATACTACACAAATTCCTTCCATTTTTCAAAAGAGAAATGTTTGTATAATTGTGTTTTTATTCCTACCTCTTATCCCATCATGAGAAAAAAGGAGGCGCTCTAATCTTACGGAAATTTCTTAAATTCCGAACACAAGCATGCAGAATGATATGCAGAGCGCAAAATGGGAGTGGGGAAAGTTAACGGTTTATTGTGTGAGCAATATAACGTTGGTTCCATCAGTAAATCATGTAGATTAGAGGATGATAGTACTGAGCTCACAGTAATTTATGGAGAAATTAAGGGTAGGAATAACCAAAATTTAGAATTAGAGTTTCTGATGTGAAAATTCTAAAAGAACTAAAAATCATATTGATACTATTCACCGTCTCAGTTTACCATTTTGGATTACTGAGTTAAATATTTACATGTGTGAGGAATTTGCGATTTGACTGTTGATTCTTATGTAAAAGTTCGCGAGAAACACGATGGTGCCACTGGTTTTCTCTGACATCAACTCCCAAGCTCAAAAAAAGCTCTAAACTTGAGGCCAACATGGAGAGGATATCCCACGCTATCCTGAGAGTCCACCTCTACATCAAAACAAACTCTCCATGCAAAGATAGGGAGCAAATTCACTGACAGGGCTACCACTTTATTTGGGGACTCTAAAACTGAAAACACGGCATCACTGCTAATGTATTTGCTCCCTATCTTTGCATGAAAAGTTTGTCTTGATGTAGAGGTGGACTCTCAGGATAGCGTGGGATATCCTCTCCATGTTGGCCTCAACTTGAGAGCTTTTTTTTGAGCTTGGGAGTTGATGTCACAGAAAACCAGTGGCACCATCGTGTTGCTCACGAACTTTTACATAAGAATCAATAGTCAAATCGCAAATTCCTCACGCATGCAACATCTCCATTGACGATTTTTTTCGCGCATGTTAGCTCACAAAAATTCATGGATAAAATGTAAAACTGGCCCAACGATGGAGGAGGGCTGGAGGGAGGGAGCTCTATCCCTCACACTATAGTGGGCGTCCATTGCTCACACGATTTAAGCGGATTCCTTAAGGAGGGTTGCCAGACACTTCAAATTTATGGAGAATCTCGACCTCTCATAATCACTTGCGGTGAGGATTCGCGCATGAAATCCCTCCACTAATTTTCTAAGGCCAACAAGCTGTTCACGAATATGCATACTTTCCCGTTGAATGCATAATTTAGTCTGCGTTTTCCACTTTTTACTTTTTTTCCAACAGCTGCAAAAGACGGACTCCTGACGGCAATTTTCTAATCGAGTTATTCGTATCTACAGTTATATACCGTTAATGTCCTCATAAGTCAGTCAAGTGACTTTTGTAACGTGGGCCGCGGCATGGAAACACCAAGCCGTGGGTGATGCTGCCAAATTTTGAATTTTATGAATCAATATTACCATTATAAAAAGGAATAATAATATAATTCTCGAGAAAATTTGGCAATATTAATGTTCTTCTCTTCCTGAGTTAACGAACTGCCACCTTAATTTGATCCACTAAACAGGGTCAGAATAGGTCAGTGTCACTGAATGTAACATTTTGTCCTAATGTTTGGAACTTACATATTCGCAAAAATATCAGCACTGACGCCCATTCTTAAAGAGTTACATTAATATATAGTACATTCCTCACCAAATCTCATACACCCGCGGGTTGGTTGAACTCCAGCCCAAGCACAGCGGAAATGTATACCATGGTTCCTTCCACCTCGAATACATCGCTTGAAACTGATCGCTCTTAACTGATTGCTCCAAGTTCAAGGTGGGAGCGACAATGGTATACACTGTTACGGTGGATGGTGTCAATTACAGTACATGTTATTCAAATGGTGGCATCTCTGTTATTATATTAGACGAAGAAAATTCGTACATAAATTTAATTATAATCAAAACTTCCATAAATTTCAACATCAATATTTAGTTCCGTAGCGGGCATTACTCACTCGTTAAAGCACCATAAAATCCAACCCTTCACTGTGAGGAAAAACACGGTAGGCTTACGGCTTACGTATGGCTAACTAGTAAATGGTGCTAATAGTTCAGACTCGATCAGTTAATCCGAACTTCTCTCTCACGAGAAAAACAAAAATACTGTAAATGAAATTGATTTACTATACCTTAAGTTAAATCGCAGTTTTGGAAAAATATACTCGAATGTAATTCTAAGATTGATCATACAGATCCTGGAAATCCTGCCCCATTTTTTCATAAAATGATAAAAAAAATTGAGTTATAAAGCTAAGCACGTAAAAGTACAAACCAAGATATTTGTCGAACTCGAGAATTTTTTTTTTTTCATTCTCTCGTAAAACACAGCCCTAGTCGCAACGATTGTTTAAAAAGTAACTGTTGAAGAAACTTGCAAACTTTATAGAGACAACTTTTAAAAAAATGTTAAAATGTAAGTGTGAGGAAACCTTTTTTGGGATATTTTTTTAGTTAAATTTACGCGAGACAAGATTTACGTAAAAAGGTTTGGAAAAAAAAACTTTTAAACGATTTACTTTAGTTTCTCAACTCTCAACACATCGAAAATTTGAAGAAAGAAAGAAAGAAAAAAAGTTGGAAAACGTTTCAAGGAGAAGTAGATAATTTTTTTTCAAACCCTTTCTCTGCATACATTTTGCTAGATGTAAATTTTACTTAAGAAAATGAGGGTAAGGGGTTTCTTATGAAATAATTTCAAGCAGTTTTTAAGAGACCCTTTTAAAGATCAATGCTTCTTGTGAGAATTTTAACGATTTCAATTTGAAGGTACTTTAGAGGCTGCGAGTTGTGCATCGGCTGGTATTTTGCGAATGAATAATATATTGGCGGATCATTGAAGAGGAGCCGCTGGCGCAGAAGCGACGAAAAATAACGCGGATGGACGGTCGTGTTCGCGACTTCGCGCCCTCTCATCGAGCATGAAATCTTTGACAGATACAAATGAGATTACAATACTCGCGCCGAGTCCGATTGAATGAATCTCATTCATGTTTGAAATTCGATCCATCCACTTAAAGGAGCATTATCTCCGTCGGATAGGCCACATTCATCTCTATTGAAAACCGCCTTACTTTAATTTTCTTCTTAATTCGTTTAATTTCAAAGCGTCTCGCCGGAGCGACCTTGACTTCCAAAAAATGAAATTTGATGCAGAGGAAGCGTAGGATGAATGTACAAAAAAATAATCTAAAAACTCGAATAAAGCTAAAAAATGTTCCCAACTTTTACCGAATGAGTTAATTGGCTTGGAAGTTTCGTGAAATCCTATGATTTTTAACGAATAAGAAAATTCAAAATGCCATTTTTTGGATTTATGAGCTGATTTTTCTATTTAAACTGCAGCAAATGTAATTTCTGCGGAAAAACTATGTAGAAACATTCGTATCCAGGTTGAATTCAAATCATAAGTCAGTCTCTGTAGGCTTTGATAAAGTCTCTTGTATTGTGGAGGACAAATAATTATTCAAATTTAATTTTTCGCAAAACGATTCCAAAATACATTTGCAGAGAGCTAACGGGGTAAAATATTGTCTGGGACTATTTTTAATTTTTTTGAAGAAACATCCAATGCAGGTAATTGATATTCACTTGCATTCTTCTTATCGGGAAATTTTTTTGGATCGTAAAGAAGGCAGAGGGGAACTTTTTAATAAAACATCTAATTTGTCTTATCTGAGGGTAGAGAAGCAGAAATTTTCGGGGGAAACTTCTTTTACAAATTGCTCGGTAGCAATCAACAAATTCAAAAAGACGCTCTCAAAATTTCTCTCTAACATCTACACAGACACAAACAACATTCAAAATTTTTCAAACTTGATCCGGCCTTTACACCCGCAGCTTTGAACTTTTTGCCATCAAGGTAGAAGGACGCGGAGAATGGAGCAATTTTCACGCGGCCATCAACCTCTATCATACAAATATCAATAAATAAAAGAGAAGTTTCGTAAAAAAGATCATAGAGTTGTCATTTCTCGGGCACTCTTGTCTCCACACAGCTGTGAGTCGAGAACTGTCATGCTGAGAAAAAATGAAGGATGACCATTCAAACGTTGTCAAATTCTTCCGCTAAAACATTTAATTTTGAAAAAACAAATGTCAGTATTTTCGCTTCAAATTTTCACGTAAACTAGAGAAAAATTGCGAATAAAATTCTCCAAAAATTTAAAGGAAAAAAACTTGGAATGTTTTCTAGAAAATTGCTAATTTATGGGAAAAAATTCAGTGACGTCTCAATGTACATACGGTGTTTTTCCTCGGGAAGGCGCCGAGGAGAGGCATACGTGCGCAGGTGCAAATTATTCGCGAATCTGAGGCTGGTAAGGGCATTTGGCAAAGGACGCGCGTTCGAGTGAATGCGTAATGAGGAATTTGGAAGGTACTTACGTGTAACTGCTGGTTTGGCGACGTACGTGTTGGTGGGAGCGTAATACTTATTTTGCGTGGCACTCGGGTGATAATAATAATTCGCTGGCACCGGGGTAACCTTCTTCTTGGCCGAACTTTGCTTCACATTCTGTTTGGGGCTTGCGGGCTTTGCACTCGGTTGAACGGTCTTAAGCGGCACCGGGTATTGGTACTGCGAGGCTACCGGCACCGGGTATTGGTACGGTTGGTAGTACTTGTTCGCGACGGCGGGCTTCGGCGTTGCCTTGGCGGGACTCGCAGGGACAACGGGGACCGCGGGGACGGCCCCTTGCTTCAGGGTTTGGTGCGTGTAAGGGACATGAGCTTGGGCGACGGTGGGTTTCCGCACGGCGGGTTGGTACGAGGGTTGATTGTAGTATTTGACAGCCCCCCTTTGAGATTGGGGTTGTGCGGTCGGCACGGTGTACGCGGAGAGGGCGGAAAACAATGTGGTAAAACTAACTAAAACTAAAACTAAGGACGCGCTCCCGGGTGTTTTCAGCGCCATCGTGATTTGAATGCGGGTGAACTTTAGCAATGTCACGGTCAGGCCAGTTTTGTGTAGTTTTATAAGAGCATTGCCCCTCCTGGATCATCTTCGCCGTTTCCCCTCCTTTGCCGCTGGTTCCGATTCCCCACCGCGGCGTCTCGGAAGGAACATTCTCCCATGTAATTACCTTATTTATCCGATCGGTTTTAAGCCAGGCTCCTAAGCTTCAGATTTTTGGCGTCCGCCTCTTCGTCCCGCCGCGCCGCCCCCCCCCCTCTCCCCATTTTCTCCTCTTCCCCTATTTGTGACGTTGAAATGCACTCCGACCAGACTTCCCCGCCTTTGCCATCGAATCGCCATGTCAGGAATCTCAACCCCTCTTCAGGTGACATTTTTATTGCCAACCACAGCATTTTCCGCATTTTTCGCGGAATTTTGAATCGTTAAGAAACTCGCGGTTAGCTCGGGTTTACGGATAGCCACTCTCTTTAAGGAAATTAAAGGCAATGATATTGACAAATAACGGTCATTTCTCCTAATCCTGGCTACTGTATTAGTTCGCCTGCGGAGTTTTTTATCCGTTCTTTACACTTAAATGCACAGTTCGCGACGACAAAAAAGCGAATGAGTCACCTTAACTAAAAAAATTTATAATTTTTTAGTAATGTAGGTCATGGAGGAAACGTGTAAATATTCCTCGCCATGTTTTCATAATTGTGTTGCAGGTTTTCTTTTTCCCTTTATTTAATTTTATTTATTTACTTTTACCTAACCTTGATGTGAGGACTGCATCCCATTCTTCTGTTTGTCGGTCACGTGAATATGAAGGTCTCTGATGGTCTCTTAGCGGTTAAGGAAAGAAATGCTTTTCACCCAATTAAAAAGCCAAATTGATTTTAGTGAGTAAACTTTTAGTGGCGTGGAACATAACAAAACAAAATATAAATGAACTTAGGGTAAAAGCATAAATTTTGAGATATTACTTGGTCCTATTATCAGGTTCTTTCCCTCCAAAAATGTAACCATACGCCAAAGTACGGCCTATGGACCATTATAATAATGATTTTCAGCATGTGTTTCTTAAAAAACTCAAAATCCGAATAATAGGTTTATATTTTGCAATATGTGGAACTAGTTTGGCTTACTTAAGAAACAACGTATGCACCATTCCTCTCCTTATGGAGATAAGTGATTTCATGGATGAGCCAGAATTATTAGTTCCTAATTGCAAAATATAGTCCAATAAATCCCTACCTCAAGGGTATCGATCCAATTAGCATTGAGCGATTTGCATTTTCCCTCTTTCTAGGCGTAAAAGTTACGTGACTATTGGAGTAAGATATACTTCTCCGATCACTAATCCTACTTTACGTTTTAACAAACAAGTAAACCAATTTCAGAGCACACACCTTACTACGTATTTTCATGATAGATATATTACTTCCGTAAAAAAGTGAGAGGAATAAGAAGGAAAGTTTTGTAGAGGAGTTTCATATGACCGATGCAAAACTACAATATTAATTATATGATTGCCGGAATTTAGTTCAAATTTTTCTCTCAGACAAAGCAAAATATCAATGCCTACTCAGATGGAACATCATTCTTGATTTTAATTCGTGTACACCATGAGGAGACCGATTGGGTTATTGCTTCTTTCTTTCCTATCCTTTCGTTCAAGTCTCTTTATCTGCGGTCCGCACCGCACCGCGCCGTGCCGCGTTATGCTATTCTGCGTTGCAAGATGTCATAGAGAGAGGTACTAACTTCATTACTTATGTACTTTGATGTCATTGTTTTCCTACCAATATCTCTCTTCTCCCTCCTCTTTGTCCTCTTCTGGAACTCCTGCTCTCTTGGACTCCTTGCATTTGATCATTGTGGCGCCATCAGTTTTAAATGCAGATGTGTTCGTCAATTTTTTCATTCATCTTTTAAGGATTACGGGAAAATCTTGATTTTTGAATGAAGGTAGAAGACTTGACTGCAAATTTCTTCACTCTTATCATGTTATGTCGGTATTATGTCTATTTTATTAGCTGAAGAAAATGATTATAAAGTTAAAATAATATTTAATACAATTTTTGTACTATGTTTTAACGAACTTACTTTTACTTCTTGACAGCTCGCACTGAATTGATGCAATGGACGTTGCGCTGAATATATGTACTGTAAATTAAGATTTAATGGTTATTAGTTAACATTTGATAATACCATGTTCCTTTCAGGCGGTACATCACAGCAATTATACAGTTTATTATAACTAAGGTGATCTTCAATCGATAATGGGTGCTGACGGCATTCATTAATTTACAAGTCTGCAAGTAGTAAATTAAAAAATAATGAAGTAATTTCCTACTCTCTAATTATTTTCCTCGACTTTTCAAAAATTAATACAAAATCGTTTAATCTCCTTGATTTTAAATGATCCATTTTTAATTTTTAATTTTATCATTTATAAACGATTTCTTAAACAAAAAAATTTTTTGCTATACTTAAATTTTATAATTATGTTCATACCTACTGCGCCTATAATGGTTTTTAGTGGCAGCGGCAACACTGGAAAGTATTCAACAACCAGTACCCTTTACCAATCAAGACCGAGACAAACTTTTTTTCTCTTCATTGTTTTATGTCGCGTACAGCGCAATCTTAGATCAATCCCGATCATTAACTTCTCCAGCCTAAACTGGCCGGTGATAAAAACGCACAGCTCCGCGTGGGTCGGTAAATCACTCCAAGTTCAATGATTTCCCTACTCATGGATCGGACTTAATCAATGCTTTCGCTTCGATGTCTTATTTAAGCAGGAAACGTGTGGAAAATATGGAATTCCGATTCTTTCGAACAGACCTGTGGTTCATACATAATTGAGGGGTACATGTGAACAACAATCTGAGCATCCAAATCTCATGATTCCTGAGGCCTCTGTAACACTAGGACTATCAAAACCCAAGAGTTTTTAGAGCTTACTCCATCACTCGATCGTTCACTTCCATCTCCTAGTTCCTAATTGCAATAGAATTATCTTCCTTGGCGGCGTTTCTGAAGAATATCGTCGGGAATTTTTCCGATTGCCCAGCAATATTAACGTTGCCAAGCGGAAAATTTACTTCATCAGGAAAAAATCCTCAATTAAACAAAAAAAAGTGGCCCGGAATATTATACATTGTTTTGCAAATGTATAGAAAAATATATGTCATTGTTGATTTACAGAAAATTCGCCAGAAATGAACGATCCAAGAAAATTATTTTAAAAAACTGTAGACTTAGAAAGGAAATTTAGTTATTTTAGACTTAAAATAATGCATGTACCGATTTTGTTCTCCAGTCAAATAAGTATGCCCAAGTTCCCTCCTTCTCCTTGTTTCTATGAATGTAACCGCATGTGAAACTTTCTGTAAGCGATCCTTTTGATGTCCTCAATGTCGGATGATGCACATTAATTGTTTTACTCATTTATTTCCCAAAGAATACATATATTGAGGGATATATTACTGAAGGGTTGGATGATTGACAGTAAGCTTTGCAGCCTTCGCTGATCGCCAAAGTATTCCGGACTTGTAAATTTTGATAACCTATCGAAACACCTCTTTTGATCGTGTGACGACGGCTTAACGAGAGCCCCGGACGGACAAGCTGAGCTTCATCTTGAGATGCATCGATAGCCGGAATTGCACCTTTGGGCGATTAGAGGCCGAGATCTCTCAATCATGCCCTTCGACCAAGCCTCAATTGGACATATTTAAATCAAAAGGAACTATATCCATTCAAACATGAGCCCTGAGATACATAAAAATACATGCATGACATGGCTCGTGTCTCAATGAAATAGATCATGTCGATTCAACTGCGGCCAATTTTACCGTTGAATCCTCCAAAATGGAGCTCATTGATATGCATCGATAAGTGTTATGAGCTCCCTTTAGTAATTTCTCAATTTGATCATTTAGCGAGGGCCAAACATGATCGCGTAAACAGTACAAATCAACCAGTTTTCCTCTTAATTAAATTAAGAACGTTTAGTCCTGTGACGTGAAAATAAGCGTCTTGTTTTTTTTCAATTTGAAATCACTGTAGATTCTCTATATCGACGGTGTAAGTCGGCAATCACATAACCCGGTTTGCGATGTCGCAGACTTCCTGTCATATCTTATTTTGTAAACGGAAAACTACTCAACGGCAATTCTACAAGACTGCCGTGGTTTTTCTTCTCTGTGCGGAGGAAATTCTACATAAACTTCAAGGAATAATGTCTATTTGTTCTCCTTTAAACAAATAACACAGAGGCGGAGATTTTCAGACACCGGAAACGAGTTATGTGATTGCCGACTTACACCGTCGATATGCCCTAAAACTGAAAGGATGAACGACGTCGTTTCTAGCGATTGGCCAGGGATGCAATTTCGGGTAATCGATGACCTGTCAATTTGTTTGAGGCTTCATAATATAACGAGAGCCTGAAGTACTATCCCTATTCATCTTGCATAGATGAGAGAGGCAACGGTGACTTACGCATTATGAAAATACTCTCATGAGCAGCAACATTCAGTTATGCCTAAATATAAATGCACGTATCTTCATAGCGCTCCTTGGCGCTCTACGACACCTAATTAACCAACAGTGCCCCTTGTTGAACCGTAATCCTGCGGGAACCGGAAATATTTTGCCTAAATATGGCTGAAAAATGTCGCGCTGATCAGATTTTCGAGAGATTTGATCAGATTTGATCTTGTGTTCGAGGAGGATTGCTCAACGCTCCTCTAATTGGTAATCGTGAGAGATAATGAAAGTGATCCCCGACAGTAATATTGATTTTAGAGAGAGAGAGAGCTGTCATGAACAACTGAGGCAATATAAGTCTATGAGAACTAATTAGATTTATACTTCTTATTATGATAAACATTTCCGAGTATTTTAACAGCAATGATTCGAAAATCATTTCATAACAATACTTGGCATTCTTTCAGTCATTTTACAATCCTAAACTTGATGGGGTGACGGGCGCTTGCCGTCATCAGAGAGTCGCCTTGCGGCAAGAAAAAGTAATCTTAAGTCATA